GTCTCTCACTGAACATGGCGGTTGCTGATTTAGCTAGACACACTGACTGGCAGTGAGTCCCAGAAATCCTCCTGTCTCTGCTTCTCTAGAATTGGGCTTTTAGGCACACGCTATGTAGTGTTTACGTGGGTCCTGAGAATTGAATTTGGGTCTTCAAGTTTGTGTGACAAACATACAGACTGAGCTACATCCATATCCTCTAGACACCACTTTTCTGATTTTAGGAAGTAGGAATTCACAAGCCATGTGGGAGCAATGTAGGGCAGACTAGAAGGAATGCTCACCGGTGTGTGGAGGTATGGTGTTATGCAGAACAAATGAAGGATTGCCAGGAAGGTGGCACTCTGCCTGTAGAACACCTGCCTGGATGGCTGTATTGCTCTGCATTGGGTGAAATGGAGAGAATCTTGTAACCACGTCCTGAGCATACACAATCACATTTCTGTAGCATAAACTTTTAACCTTTCCAGCCTTGTGAGTGACTTAACAGTTTTTGAAAAAGTGTGATAGTTCAGAGGACCACAGCAGCTCTTTTACCCTCCGTGGTTCCCGCTTTTCCTACGACATGGCTTCCTTGGGTCCAGTTATTGGATGTAAAGTAGCTGGAGCTGGCACATGAATCTCTAGGGTTTGGTCCAAAGTGACTCATTCAAATTTAAAGCATCTTGGTGAAGCAGCCCCTCCCATCTCAGGTGTGTTAGGCAGAGATATAATGGAAACTGGCTGGAGTGTGTATGTGTACACTCTTAGTATCTGAAAAAAATTCTTTCCTTCTTTGCATATGTGTGTGGTATACGTGCACGTGTGTATGTGAGCTTGGTGGGGAGACACAAGCACATGCCAGTTTGTGCGCATGCTTAGGCTTGAAGTTGATGTCAGGTGTTCTCAATAGCTCCTACTTTATTTACTGAGGCAAGGTCTCTGGCTGAAACTGGGCCTAGTTAATCTTAGCTAGTCTAGGCAGTCAGTTTGTCCAGGAGATCGCCCACTGATGTCTGAATGTTGGGATTATAAGTGGTTGCTGTGCCGGCTTGACTTCTATGTGGGTTTATGGAATCTGAACTTTATGCCTCAGGTTTGCATTCAAGCACTTTATTTGGAGAGCCAGCCTCCAACATTGATCCCTTCTGACACGGATGAGAAGCACAATCCCTTTGGCATGGGATTTCCCAAGCAGAAATGCTGGGCCCTGTTCTGGCAGATTCACTCTCTTGTGGGTCAGGGGTCACATGATCCATGGCTACTATCAAGCACTGCCAAGGAAGAGGGCTGGGGAGATGCAACTCTGCAGCTGGAATTTCAGATGTGAAGGTGGGTCATCAGGGCTCTATCACCAAAGACAGGTGAACTTATTACTTTCTATTTTCATTTACGTAGATGCGTATATGCCCATGTGAATTTATGCTGCGTGGTGATCTGACATCCTCTGGCCTCTAAGAATCCTGCAACCAGATAATTTGGGTTTCTCTTTCCCTTTCTCTTGCTCTCATTCTCAAATCATAACTGCCTTGTCTTTTTTTTTTTTTTAACAGAAATATAAACCAAAAAGGTTAGGTTTTTTTCCTTCACTTCACACTCAGGTTCCCAGTGTTGACCCCAGGAAGAGTCTTTGAGTATGGCCATTCAAAGCAAAGGGACCTGACACCTCAAAGCCAGCAACTGTCATCTGCTGTCAGAGTGCCCAGTGGTCGGTTGCTCTAGACTTCAAACACTTGAGTTGATGGCTATCAATATCTATATGTCTGTCTGTCTGTCTATCCCTCTGGCTTCAGCCTAGCACTTGCCTTTGACAGAACTGTCAGTCATCTACCCTGGAACTGCTTTTGAATAAGTCACAGCCCTGAGTGCTGAGTCAGATGCCCTGTCCTCTTGCCCACTTGCTGTTTTCTTGAACATGCGGCTAATGATAGCCCATAGGGATGACTTGAGATAACGTTCATACCACATCCAGTGGCTGTTACTATAGTAGGAAGGCATTGCAGTGCAGAATGCTTGAATTTTAGGTCCCTGTCACTGAAACTCCCAATGCTTTTCAGGTTGTCTTCTTACTCCAAGTGCCCGTGTCAGAGGAAGAGTGATGCCAGCATTGTCGATGGACAAACCACAGCTCCTTTTGTGCCTTGTTGTCAGTTGATGGCTTTAACCACAAAGCCTTCAGACAACCGCAGGTTTTCCTTGAACCTGTGACATCTGATTCTGTATGCTTCATCTTTCTAGGATGGTGGTCTGTAAGTTCCCAAAATAAGTCATTTCCTCAACAAATACTACTGTCTGGATCTTGTTTAACATCTGCCTAAACTTGTACAAAGAGTCTGGTGAGTTCTTCAGAATGGTGGTGTCTGATTGGTGAATAACAGGCCATGAGATTTCTCTCCACTAAGGTTATAGTTAGTGGTGTTTAAATCCCTCCTGATGTCTCTATTGTTCGAACTCCTGGAGAAATACTTAAAGCTCTTTAAAGCATTTTCATTGATATTTAAAGAAAGATCGAAATCTTTCACAAACCTTCTCTAGCCTCATGTTTCAAGCTCAGCTCCATCCTCTCCCTCTTCTCTTCCCTTGGTTCATCCCTGTATTAGGATTTTTTGTTTCAACATCTTTGAATGCATTGTTCTTCACCTGTGCTGCTCTTTAAAAGTTCAACTCTCTCTCTCTCTCTCTCTCTCTCTCTCTCTCTCTCTCTCTGTGTGTGTGTGCTTGCACACATGTGTGCACGTGTACATTCTTGTGAGTACAGAGGCCCACTGAGATCCTATGGATCTGAAGTTACTGTTGAGCCATCTGGTACTGGTGGTGGGAACTGAACTCTTGTCTTCTGCAAGAGCAGCAAGTGCTCTCAACTGCTGAGCCATCTCTTCAGCTCCTAGACTACTGGCATCCTCTCACTTTGCCTCCTTGATTCCTCTGAATGTGAAACCTCATTTTGAAGAAAGCAACCTTGGAAACCCAGGCTCTACCTTTACCCTAGACCTGGCTGGGCCTTTCTCCCTAGCTGTGTCGAAGGTCTTCTACTTGCTCTCAGTGTCATGTCATTTTGATGGATTTAGCCATTGATTTTCAAATCTTTCCTCTCAGTGATTTGATGTTTGAATCTGAGTTGATGTTTACCATGAATTCTAGAAAAATCATTCAAAATCTAGTCTATACTTAATGTCTGCACTTCTAAACCATTGCAGATCAGTATTTTTCTCTTTCTGATGTTCCCTCTTTACTCTGGTTCTCACATTTCTGTACCACCCAGAAGAATTTTCTCTGATTGCCCCTCCCCATACCAGTACACTAATTTTCCCTTCAATTTTATCTGACCTGCTATTTACCACATACTCAGATTTTATGCAGACAGATATACCATCTCTGTAAACTGTAGTTCAAACTTTATCAAGGGTGCCCAATCTTTAATGAGTGTCTCTTTATTTTGGAATATCTCTGATTGATGTCTAGCTTGTATTGCTGACTCTGGAGTATATGGGATGTTGTGTAATTTGCAACTCCGTCCTGCTTAGGGTAGTCCCAGAATCATTAGCTTCTGCTCACTCGCTTTGGTTTTGATCCCCCCCCCCCCATTTTGGCCCTGGAGAGTTCCTAACTTGCATTTAAAAGGCTGGTTGTTACATCCTATCTTGCATACCCACACATCTTACAGTGACAATTTTGTTCTAGCTTGTTACTGGAAATACATGTCCTCCAGGGCCCCTTTTGTAGACTGTCCTAGTACCTTTCCTGATTATTATTAAAACATTAAGCAATTATAAGCTGCTGAATGTCTGCCTCCTCTTGCAATCATGTAGTTACATGGGAAGGGTGCCTTGTTCAGAACAGTGGTGCCAGCTTCTATGTCAGTGCCCGGGATAATGACAGAACTCAGTGTAATTTCCATAAATGAATGAATGAAGCAAGGCAGAGTGGCTATGGCTGTCACATCAAGCAGTCTTTCCCCATCCCTTTATAGCCTTTATTAACCCATCTTGCTTTTCCTAAGAGCGTATCCTTTCCTCAAACACATTTACACCTTCTGTAGTTAGTAATTTCTCAGTGGTGATTTAAAGCTATGTTTTCAATAACACTTTCTGTAGTTTTTTTTAAACCCCCTGGGTTTTTTTAAGGGTCTGCCTGTGTAGCTCTGGTGGTCTGGATCCTCCTGCCTCTGTCTCTTGAATGCTGGGATTAAAAGTGTGCACTGCCATGCTCAACTTTAGTCTGTTTTGCCTCCCCACCTTCTTGACCTCAAAAGGATTGGGATGTGAATGGATGGTCTCTGCACAGGTCAGGAAACCTAGGGGTTGGGTGATAAAATGTCTTCCCTTCTTCATGGTAGGAGCAAATTCTAGAATTAAATGGCTTTAGCCCACCTGGTTGCAGGCATGCAGGACTTGCCCTGAGGTATTTAGAATGAGAAACAAAGGTCCTTTATGTGGACATAATATCAACTTTGCCCTTTTGCTGATCATCAACCCACTCTTGATAAAGAAGCTTGTGTCAAGGCAGATACACGGGCCTTCTCATTAGGAGGAACTTTCATTTGAACATTGCTCAAGGCTCAAATGATTCGGCTTTTCATTTGGACAAAGTGCTTTTCCTTCTTTTGGGAGACACATTACAAACCATTACCTGTCAGAGTCCAATGGCTGGAGAACCCTGCTCATGGCTGATTTGGATGCAGGATGTCTAGTAAAGGATAGAGTGTCACAGACTACAGGACAGAAGCATGGGGCATCACCAACATCTAACACTTAAAGAGTGAGTGAGGTGGAAAGCGAGGCACAGGGAAGGACACATGGGCAGCAACATCAAAGCAAGCTGAGGTTTCCCCCCACAGGTCAGTTTCCAACCTCAGGGATGAAGGTCACAGGTGGCTGGAATCTTCCAGGCCCACAGGCATTTCAGAAGATCTCTTCTTGGAGGCTCCCATTATGCATGGGGGCCTGTGGTAGATGCAGCAGTTTCATTCCTGAGACTGGGAGGGCAGAGGGAGCACGAAGGAAGCAGATCTGGGTACTTACCTCAGGGCAGACCCCTTGGGTGTTGCAATGCCGTAGCCCTTGGAATCCAAGTTACCTCCTACTTTCATGGTGTCACAAGGCTTGCGCTGCTCAATGTACTCATTCATGGTGGACTCCAGGAGGTAAGCATATTTGCCTTTAGATTTTCTCACTCTGATCATGCCCTCCTCTGTGGTCCGAACAAACACAGATGGTTCTGCAGACTTCATGTATGTCCACATCTTCTCAAATACAGCGATTTTAGATCTCTGGCAGGAGATAGGAACAAAGCCAGGGTTAAGCAACGGTGCTTGAGTTGGGGTCGGCACACACATCAGCAAAGAGCTGAGTGCAGCTTGATCACACATTCATGAGCCAGATCAGCTTAGGAAGAAACAAATTATGAGTGATTGCAAAATAAGAGCCTCTAATTAGTACCAGAAGGTTTCAAGGTACAAATATCTTGTAAATATAGATTGAATAGAGTATCTCAGAATCATTTAATTACTTCTGAGCAATTACATTCTTTCCAAATAAGGGAAAGATAAGCAACCAGGTCCTTGTCTTATCTTTGAAAGACATTGTGGAACCTGTCTATAGTCCAAAAAGGGTCCATGTATACTGCTCTAAAGAGAGGGCTGAATATCAGCAGGATTTGACTTCACTAAATACTGCAAAGCTAAAAACATTAAAAACAATGAGACCTGCCCCTCATAGGCTCTATTGAATACTTGGTCACAGTTGTTGGTGGTGTTTGGGGAGGTATAGGAGGTGTGGCCTTGCTGGAGGAAGTGTGTCACTGGGAATGGGAGTTAAGAACTTAAAGCCTCACAGAACTCCTGGTCCACTGTCTCTGCTTTGTGTGTGTGGTTGAGGATGTGAGCACCCAGCTTGCTTCTCTGTCCACCACGTCAGTTTGCTGCATTGCCTACCCACTATGATGGCCTCTTATCCATCCAGAACTGTAAGCCCAGATAAACTCTTCCTTTTATAAGTTGCCTTGGTCATCGTGTTTCATCACAGTGACACAAAAGTAATGAATGCAGCATGTGACCCAATGCTTTCATCTCCGCACATTTGCAAAGCCTCCAAAATGGGGCTGAGGTGCTAGCTCAGTTGGTGAAGTGCTTGCTTTGCAAGTAAGAGTCTGAGTTTATGTCCCTAATATTCACATTTAAGAAAAAGTTGCCTTGTATGGCAGGGCATGCCTGGAATCCCAGTACTGGGAAGGCAAAGACTGGAGGTTTCCTAGGGCTTGTTGGCCAGTCTTGCTAGGTTAAATTAAAGTGCTCCAGGTTTGGTGAGAGACCCTGTCTCAGAAATTAAGATGGAAACTTATTGAGGAAGACAAGTGATGTTGAACTTTGGCTTCTATGAACATGTGCACATATGTCTTTATGCACATACATGAGCATATTCACATGAGCACACACACACACACACACACACAAACACAAACACACTCACACATGTTTCAAGTTTAGTTAAACTGTTTCTTCATCTTTGAGACCAGCTCTGACTCTTTTCTTTCATTGGGGGTTTTGATTGGATCGTTTAAGGCACCTGATGCAGTGCTGCTGTGTCCTCTTTCCAAAGACTGGAGTTAAATCCTATGTCCTAGGAGACCATCAGCCCTCAGGACAGCAGTCCATAATCTCTAGTGGACACTTGTACCCTGAACCAACAGTGTGAAAATGCAGACAGCCTGCAGTAAACCTAGAGATTTTGATCTGGTAGAACTCTCCTAAGGGTCCTGATCTTGAGCTCAGCATTTGTCAGTGAGGCCTGATGTCCCTGGGGTTCAAGAATATTAGGGTCACTCAGTATATGGCCTGTCTACTTTGTGGAGACTGCTAGTTATCATTGCTTGGGAACTGGGCCTGGTCTGTAGAAGTTACTGAGGCAGGCAGCTCTGTGTCTTTCTCAGTGTCTAACTGAGACTCTTGGCAGGGTGCATGATTCAGGATCACAGAGCAGCCCTCTCAGCCCACAATCTCACAAGCTTTTGTTTATATTTCTGGGGACAATTTAGGGGTATTGGAATACTGCTTTTGATTATTATTTTCCCTTTATGTATGTGTTTGGGGGAGGAGAGGGTGTGTGTGTATTTATCTGTCCTTATCTCGTAGATCCCAGAGGTAAACATCTGTACCTGTCTCTGTTGCTCTCTTTCCTATCTTCTGAGACAGTCTCTCCTTAAACCTAGAACTCACCAGTTGGTTAGATGACTGTCTAGAAAGCTCCAGGATCTTCCCACCTTGATCTCCCAGGCACTGGGGTCACAAACCCCTGTTGCCACAGGTTTTTACCTGGTGCTGGGATCTGATGTCAGATCTCCAAGCTTGTGCATGGATCACCTAACTCACTGATCTATAGCTCCAGTCCTTAGACTTTGGGAAATGGACAGTGCTAGCTGCATACAAAGGCCTTAAAATAAAGAAAAGCACAATTACTGAAAAAGTTACATAACCTGTATACCAGTTAATGTAAGATCATTATGACACATGCAAAATTGTTTTTGTCTGTATGAAGTATTAGGTTTACTTTCTTGATGTTAAGAACACAAGATATGACATGTATCCTATTTTTAGTTCACTTATAGTTAATATCACATTTAACATGTGGGTTTTTTTCCTATCTAATAGGACTTTCATGATAGTCAAAACTTGTTAAGGGTGTGCTTTCCATATGGGGCTTAAAAAAAATATGTGTGTTTAAGTCTTTGACAATTGGTTTTATTCCTGTGGTTGTAAGCTTGTGTTGTTAAAAACCATGTCTCAGCGCAACCTAGGAATGTTTGCTGCTTGCTTTCCCTGCTTGTTTTCTGTTTTGTTTACTATTAAAGACATACTTTTTATCTTAAAAAAAAAAAAAGAACATCAGATGTTGAAGGACATTTTAATATACATCTGTCACTTTGGCTAACTGATCTATAAGGTATTTAGGACCCAGAAAAACACTTAAGTTTTGAGTTTAAAATGTTGGAAATAGTTACTTAGAATTTCAAGGAGGCATTAGACATGGGTTTAATTTGCTTTGGTCCCTCATTAGATGAACTACCCCATTTGTCCCACAGAGTAATTGGAGAGAATACTGCACTGCTCAAAAGAAGCCTGGATTCTGCTCTCAGTTTTCCTTCTAAGTCTTGGTTTGTTCTCTGAAACACTCTTCTTTGAGCTTCCATTTCCTTTTATTTCATGGTAATTTTAAAACATCTTGCTGGCTTGAAATGTCTGATTCTGATGTGAAAGCTACAGTGTCAACGTGAGAGGGAGGAGAGCAAGGGGAGGGGCACTACCCACACCCAATCATGGCATGTCCAGGGGACTCAATGCTCCAACAGTGAGACACATACATCCAGTCAGGACCAGATGATCTTCCAGACACAAAACCAACAACACACACAGCGGGGGTGATTGTAAGATGCAATTTGACTTGACAGGCTGGGCACAGCAGGGAACAAGCTGTGGACAGGCAGAACTGAGAAACCCCGGGGCAGTAATATGTAGAAGATCAGCACATCCTCTCAGCCAAACCCCAAAGCCCAGGCTGTGCTCTCAGGTGCTCAGTGACCACCAGACAATCTCTGGGAACTCAAGTGGGGTATGAATGGCAGAGACGCCTGGAAACGTGCCAGGTTATCTGTTCTTGAATCTGTCCTGTGTAACTCCCATTGCCTTTCTCACATCTTAATTAAACTGTCCATGGACAATTGAGAGGCTCTGGATGGGGTTGCCATGGGGACTGGAAGCTGGGTTCTTTTGAGATGGGGTGAGGGGTGAGGAATTTCATGCTTCCCTTTCCCTTCTTTGTAGTGGGAGTGGAAGGTAACATCTCCCTACCCATCAAAGTGTTGGTCAGTCACAGATATGTTGGGGCATGGGACATCTAGCAGTGCTCTTTTGTTGGTGTAGAAACCAGGGCCTGTGTTGTAGCATTGAGAACTTGTGCCCTGGTGTCACACATGGAAGAAATCTCTGGACTTCTGGTGGACATCTGTGCCTTTCCTTTCTAACAACCAGCTTCCTCCCTCATTGTATCTTGCCAGCCACAGGAGCTTGGGCAACCTTTCTGAGACTCATTGTTCCTCTTTGAACAGTGGTGATAACAGTTCCCATGGACAGTGTTGCCATAGAGACAACACACAAGCATAGGTAAATGCTAGTCCAGTGCCTGACATAAAGAACGTGCTTAGGTGGTAAGATTACTGTGAGTATTCGTGTCTTTTTCTTTCAGGGTTACTTTGGTGTTGGGATGCTTAGTGCATGTGGCACCTTGTTGACAACAGTCAGAGAACACGTTGACAAAAGCCTTCAAGGGTCTGAGACCCCTGCTTCTCCACCTGTTTTATCCACCCTCCACACAAAGACCTCTTCATGTTCACCCATCTTCACGTGTTTTCCCAGTTCTGGTACTATTCAACAGCTCTCTTCTAGTAGTGCTCCCTTCCTTAAGTAGATCATCTTACTGATCAAGGAAACAGCTTTTGCTATGAGGAAACCAGAGGAGGAGTCAGGGACAAAGTAGTCCTTTTTGAGCACTCAGGGTTTTGGGCTCAAGGAAATCAAGTTGTATGAACTGGCTTTGCAGTGCCTTCTACCTGATGAGTGAGTGCAGGCTCTAAAATCTAAATGGTGACTCCTCTGCTTACCAATCTGCCCTTGTTTTTTTTTTTTTTTTTTTTTTTTTTTTTTTTTAACTTCCATGTTCCTTCCTCCTCCCAACTCCTCAGAGCCCCATCCCCCAAGCTTCTGGAGCCTGAGCATGAGAACTGAATCCACCAACAGATCAGAATTCCCTGACCAAATTCATGGACCAGATTGGTCACTATAGTCTTCTTCCTTCCCAGGGCAGGAAAGCCTCCAACCCAGAGTGCTGTTTAAGCAACTCACACAGGGAACTGTTTTTCTACCTCCCAGTAAGCCTGTCTTGCTTTCTCTTATACCATTTTGTCTGTCATTCTTTGTAGTCATGAGACCATGAACTCAGAAGCCACTGGCTAGGGATGACTTTGGTGGCCATTGTAAATGAGAAGTGCTAGAAAGAAGCAGTGTCTGCAGGAGCTGGTAGACTGACTAGAACTTCCGAGTCGGGAGACTAATTACCATCTATCTTGGTCTAGCTGTAGCCCATTAAATAGTCATTCTTTGTCCCTCATTTGTGGTAGACCTAACATCCTGTCACTAAGAGACAAAGCTGGGCCTTGCCTTCTAACAGATGCATTCTCTTTGGAATGTATTAACAAAACCTGGTTTTCCATAAACTTGACATGTAAGGCCTATAGCTGAGGGTTCTCTGCTTTGCTGTCACCTCCTACTCAGTGTTTGCACCAATGGATTTGCAAAGTGCCCGACTTAAGACTTTTTTGTTATATTACTAAAACAAAACAAAACAAAACCCCAAAAGCAAAAAACAAAAACCAAAACCCAAAAAACTTCCATGTTTTAACATGGGGTTTGGAGTGACCTGTGCTTCCAGGCCATGTGACTCATATTTGGCTCCAGAATAGACTATCTCTTATTCCCTTTGAGGTAAGAGCTATGTTTCTGTGTTGATGCTATCAAGTTTCTGACCCTAATTCTTATGCACAAAGTCCACCAAGGCTCAGGGATCTTAAGACAGATGAGGAACATTCCAAGTGTTGGAAACCAGCAGTCTGCTGACCCTGCCCTCTGACGATGGGCGGGACACTCATGGCCATATCTTCACACATTACCTGGCTGCTCACGAGTTACCTGGCTGTGCAGGGGACTCAGTTACGTACGCACAAGTTCCCCTTTTAAAGCAAGTGCACCAAGCATGTCTCTCTCTCTCTCTCTCTGTCTCTGTCTCTGTCTCTCTCTTGTGTGTGCTTTTGGTTGGCCACCAGCTACTGCCGCCTTCTCTCCCCTCTACCAATAAACTCCACGTGGGCGCCGAGTCTCCTGTTTGTGTTTCATAGGCAATAGCAAAGCAAAAGAACAACACCAAGAATTAGATTTTGTCTAGGGGCTGCTGAGGTCATAGCTACGATCAGCGGCTTTTTCCTTAGCGCTGCTGTAAGGAAAAAGGCAATCCCTCAGAACCTGCCTGTTGTCTGGTTCCAGGAGAAGGGCAGGCACCCTAATTCTTACTTCTCCAAAAGAGCTTATAGGTCCAGGCTACCGGACTCCAAGACACCAGGCAGCACATTCCTCACCTGTAACACAGAGACATCTTACCCAAATGGACCCCTCCCAGCTCCTTCCAGCTCCTTTCTAGCTCCTCCGTGCTCCCTCTCCCAGCTCCCCAGTTCCTCCCCAAGGTCCTACCTCCTCTAAGTCATACATTAACAAGATTTCTTCCTCCATCTCTTGAAACTCAAGACACCCTCCCTTGACATCTGGCAATCCGAGGCAGCCTAACTACAAGGCATGTGGGCTATTTATCGCCCGTCTGGCATAAGACCTCCTTTTTCTGAGACCGATAAGAAGAGATCAGAATTCTGCCTCAGGAACCTGAACTCTCCTCAGATATCATACTATGCTGTCTATGACTTTAACAATTTTAAATGAACTGGGTGCTGATGGCACACACCTTTAATCTCAGCACTCGGGAGGCAGAGGTAGGCAGATCTCCGAGTTTGAGGCCAGCATGGTCCACAAAGTGAGTTCTGGGATAGCCAAGATTATTTCATAGAGAAACCCTGTCAACCCTGTCTCAAAAACAAAACAAAACAAAACAACCCCTAAAAGCATTAAAAATTCTTTGAATGAATCTCTCACCCAAAAGGACAGTCCACTTGGTGGTCTTCTTGAGCTCCAAACTCAAGAGTTTTTACTGAATTTCTGGGAATTGCTAGGATGGTAGGCAGTTACTTTGCTGCCTGTAATATCTATCTGTCTGTCTATCTATCTATCTATCTATCTATCTATCTATCTATCTATCTATTTATCTATCATCTTTCTATCTATCTACCTGTATCTATCTATGTATCTAGCACCTATCTATCTATCCATCTATCTATGTCTGTCTGTCTGTCTATCTATTATCTATCTATCATCTATATATTATATATCAATCATCTATCTATTATTTATCATCTATCTATTTATCTATCTATCTATCATCCACCCATCCATCCATTCATCCATCCATCCATCCATCCATCCTCTGTTTATTTGTGTTGCCTGGGAAGTAACACAGAGCCTCCCATGTACTTCCACCACAGAGCCACCTTCACCCAGCCCCTATACTTTTTAATAAGGGGAGTGTAATGAAGTGATTCCACTCTGAGATGGTGTCTCAGGATCAGGGATGCCCTCACCCTGAAGAACTCCTTAGTGGAACCTGCTTCCAATGTCCCATAAGCAATTTCCGTCTGCTTTGCCAGGTCCTCTGCACTCTCGATGGGAGACACCATCCTCTCCACAGTCAGGAAGGCCGCCAGGTTGGCTGTGTATGAGGAGATGATGATCAAAGTGAAGAACCACCAGACGCCGCCGACAATGCGCCCAGACAGGGACCTGCAGGCCAAAGGGGAGAGGGGTCAGAGGCAGGGACATTAATTACAAAAGGCTCTGGAGAGGAGCAGGAAGCTAGCAGAGTTCTGTCAGCAGAGCTGTCAAACCCAATTGCACCCTCTGCTCTGTAAGGGAGAAGTGAGAATTTAAATGGTACAGAGATGCCATGCTTCCTTCCTTGACATGATAAGGAGTTGTGGGTTTCTGCCCCTTGGGTGATAATGTACACAGGCATATCTTCACACTTGCTTTAAATGGACAGACACATCAAGACATGTCAGCAATGACAAAGATGTGTCAGCACCTGTCCACAAGCATCTTAGACATGTAGAAACACCCTTCAAATGTGGCCACACTGACATGGAATATTGGGGCAAACGCCCCCATATAAATGCACCTTCATATGGACACACACACACTTGATGTGTCTGGAAATGAATGGCAGTCATCCCATCTTTCCGTTGTTGTTTCAGGATGACATCATAGAAGGAGGGGGAAGGAAGATCGTATTGGATATATACAGAAAATGACAGTAACGTGTTTTAGTTATTGCGGGGAAAGACACTACAGGAGATAGGCAGTCCCTCCACCTACCACACAGATGGATTTAAAAAATGGTGGGACAGTACACACTCAGGCAATAGAGGTAGGAGGATCAGGTTTCAAGGTCATCTTGGCCACTCAGTGAGATCAAAGCCAGTCTGGGCTACAGGAGATCCTATCTCAAAAATACAAACAAGCAAACCAAATAGGAAAGAAAGAGGTTAGTACAAATGAAGTTTCCCTTGACATTTCCATGGTCCCTCTCTTGTGTCCCCTTTATGAAGAGAAAGATGACTAGCAATAGAGCCACAGTGACCTCTCTGAGTCTCTTGGGGGTCTCCCAGTCTAGGGGTTCCCAATGACCCCGCATGGTGCTGTGGCTTCTCCTTAGGGTGACTGGAACTCTTCCAGAAGGAATAAAGATACTGTCAAGTAGATGCTTGTGCCTTACCAGATGACTGAAACAACAGGGCTCATGAAATGGGGATGCCCCCAGCAATCTCATACCAGGGAAGGGAAAGTCTGGGACCCTAGTGCCAGCCAGAGGAGGAGGGGCTTATCTTTTAGGAATAGATTTCCCATAATTCTCATAATGTAAGGGAGATTGGAGTTGAGACTATGATGGATGGGGTTACATTTTAATCAGGCCTGCTTGGCTAGCAGAACTCCCACCCACTGTTAAAACCTAAATACCATGTTAAGATTTTTAGGAGGGACTTTAGGGGAATCACCACATCTCCTTGTCCCTACTCACAATGTGACCACTCTGAGCAAATCTCCTCTCTCTGCTTTTTACTTTTACTTGTTCATTTAATTGGCATATTGATTTTGGGTGGTGGAGCCTGGCTTGTTGGGGCTACCAGAACCCAGATTTGAACTCCAAACATTATGTATGATTCTTAGGGAGTGTGATGGTTAATAGTTTTTGTCAACCTGGCAGGACCCAAGGAGACAAGCTTCCGGAAATGTCTATAAGGGAGTTTCTAGACTAGGTTAATTGAAGTGGGAAGAGCCATTCTGAATGTGGATGGTACCATTCCATGGGCAAGCTGAACACCGGCCATCATCTCTGTTTCCTAATCGTGAACGAGACATGAGCAGCTGCCTCATATTTCTGTCCCCGTGCCTTTCCTTCCATGATGAACTACTGTATGAGCCCAAGCAAACCTTCCTTAAGCTGCCTTGGCCACAGCAAGAGGAGTAAGTAATGAAGGGATATCGCGGTTAAATAAGGATCAGGATAAACAAATAGGCCGAATAGATGTTTATTCAGGAAGAAATAACTTAAAACCTAGAGAGATGAACACCAGGAAATTCAACCCGATGCTCTCCTGTCTGAGTCACACCAGCAAGAAAGCTTTTCCTGGCTCTCCCTCCGACCTCCTTCCAGAGGTCACTTCCGCCCCCAATGGGCGTGGTCAGTGCCACAGAAGGACTATCTCACTACAAAGGGATGATATAGAAGACAGTGGTCAGGAGAGTGGGTTCTAGGAAAAGCATATAGAACCCTGTTTTCTTTCACTGTGTGTACAACTTTGGACACGCCCATCAGTCATTTTGTCTGGATCTTCATAACATCATTCCATAAGGATGTGGCTTATTGGAGGGCATTCTCCAGAAGTGAAAAGGCAAGTATAAGTTTGGCAGACAGTCTAGTGCCTGGTACACAGTGAGCACTTCTGGGTGAAGTTACAAGCACTTCTGGGTAGAGCAGAGCACTACCTAGGGCAGAAGTCAGGGGTGTAGAGTCTATGTCAGGGCCCTTCCAGAAAGCTACTCTGAGGCCGAGTAGGGACTGGAAAGTTATAAGCATCCATCAGCTTTTGATCCAGCAGCTTCACCCTCACATCATATCTGACAAGGAGATGGATATAGACTGCCCCCTTTCTTTAAAAACATGTCCTGTCATCTCTGTGAAGAAGGGGACAGAAGGAACACTTTCTGGGCCCTTCATTCAGCCAATCTTAAGAGGTCATAGGGTGTGACCTATTTCCTTTTGTCTTTGATTTCAAACAGCTATTTTTGCAAAGGTCTGGGAAAGAGAGCTTTGAGGTTCTGGCTAGGAATTTCATGTGTGCGCGGGGAGGGGGAACGGCAATGTCGAATTGCCTCATTTCTGATCTGAGCTCTGTCTACAAAGAGATGCGCAGAGTGAGGTGATAAGCTCTGGCCAAACTCAACATTTTCACTGATGAAGCAGCTGCATCCAAGATGTGTGTCTCCATGGGCCAGTCACTGCGCATCATCTGCTACAAGTCACTCCTCTGGCAGAGCTGGTGTGACTAATTTTAACCACTCCAGCTGCTGGCCACTGTTGTTGCTCTCTAGCTGAGAATGGCAGCAGGGTAAGAGCTAGGGTTGGATAATGGCTCCAAGGACAGCCCATGTCTCTGCAAGCCAGTGCGTGGGTCCTATTACCCCAGAGCTCTGATTCCCAGAATAATGTATCTTTCTGTCTGGGTAGATCATTCAAGGGTAGCATAGCCACAGCTTATGAAGCAATGGATGGAACATTAATAGATCCACTCACTCATTCACGTATCGTATCTTGTGATTTATTCTTTGAATCGGCCTGCCTTTCTATTGTGGTAAACACCATGGCCCAAAAGCAACTTGAGGAGGAAATGGGTGCCACCACACTCAGCTTCTTCTGAGTTTTAGAGGTCAAGTTCAGGTAGTTATGCTTGTGTGTTGAGTACTTCATCAACTGAGCTATCTCTCTAGCCTAATATGGATCCTAGCCCTACATGGATCTTTAAAAACTATAAACAGGTTCATGATACTCCCTGCCCCTATTTAAAGCCAGCTGTGGTTAGGAAATAAAATCTAAAATATTTTACCAAGGCTTGAGAGACACCTCCTGATTGACCCAGCTCTAATAGCTGCCAGTAGTCACATTCTTCCACCATGTTGTGTCTCAGGCTCCTTGGCCTTTATAGTTTTGAGACCACAATACAATCTTTCCCACTGTGGTGGTTTGGATGAGAATGGATTCCCATAGGCTCATGTGTTTTAATGCTTGGTTCCCAGTTAGTATAAGAGTTGCGGAAGGATGAGGAAGTATGGCCTTGATGGAGTAGGTGTGTCACTTGGGGTGAGCTTTGAGGTTTCAAAAGCCCACAGCATTCCTTCTTAGTGCTCCCATTCCCACTCTCTTCTCTCTTAATCTCTCTTTGTCGTGCTTGTGGATCAAGGCACAAGCTCTCAGCTACTGCTCCAGCACCATGGCTGCCTGCTTCTATGCTCCCCACCATAATGGCCATGGACTCTAACCATCTGGAAAACCAACCCCCAAACAAAGTGCTTTCTTTTTTAAGTTGCCTTGCACATGAAGTCTATCCACAGCAGTAGAACAGTAGCTAAAACACCCACTTCAGGACATTTGCAGATTCTCTTTTGCTGGGGATTTACTTCCTTGAAAATGGCCCAAACCTGCCTCTGTAGACCTTTCCCTTGAGGTTTCTATTATAATGTCACCTGCTTTCACACACTCTTGTGAAGTAGTACTGCTTCAGCCTCCCTCCCCATTTTGGCATTGCTTTTTTTTTTTGGTGTAGTGCTCCATAAAGGTGAAGTGACATAGGTTTGCTCACTCTGGCCATCTGTCTTCCTGTAGTTGTGTGTACAGGTCTTATCAGTGTCATTTGTTGCTCTGTCCCCAGCGTGCAGCTTAGTGCCTGGCAGAGAGTGTATAACAGGTAGGTAGGTGAATGATTTTTCTCAGGACTGACTATGCAGTACAACGTGATGGGAAGTATGTAAGAGTTTCATCTCCAGAGAAGAGAACTGATTTAATAGGAGAGACAGGACAGACAGACAGGCAGGCAGACAGACAGACAGACAGACAGACACACACACACACACACACACACACACACACACACACACACACACACACAGAGAGAGAGAGAGAGAGAGAGAGAGAGAGAGATGCTAGCTTACAGGTATCACTCATCAAGTGCTAAGAAATTGGGGTGGGGAAGTTCATGGCCTACTAAGAAAAATCTGGAAAGGCATCAGGGGAGAGGTGTCACCTGACTAGGCCAGGGAGGAAAACTGGCTGTCTTAGGTTTCTATTGCTGTGATAAAATATCATGACCAAAAGCACTGTGGAAAGGAAAGGGTTTGTTTTATTTTACAGGCCCTGCTCATAGTCCAGCATCCAAGAAAGTCAGGGCCGGAACCTGGAGGCAGGAGCTATGCAGAGGCTGTGGAGGAGGAGTGCTGCTTACTGGCTTGCTCTTCAGGGCTTGCTTCGCCTGCCTTCTCAAATAAACCAGAACCACCAACTCCGAGGTGGCCCCACCCACAGTGAACTAGGCCCTCCCACATCAATCATCAATAGAGAAAATGCATCCCAGGCCAGTCTGGTGCTTTCTTAATTGAGGTTCCCTCTTCCAAAATGATTCTAGTTTGTATCACATTGACATTTAAAAGTAGCCAGCACACTGGCTGTGAAC